TTGGGGGGCGGGAGGGAAGCCAGCCAGGGCGCAGCGCGGCAGGGAGCGAGGTGGGCTCGCCGGCCGCGCCGGGGGCTGGGCGTGGCCATGGTGGCTGGGCAGAGTTTGGCGGCCGTCGGCGGCCCCTTCTTGGAGGTGGAGGGGGCCACAGCCTGAACGTTTTTGGGCCGTAGCCGTGCCGGCGGGCGCGTTGGTGGGGCTGGTGGTGCCGCCCCGCGTCGGACAGCAGCCCTGGCGGAATCGCGGCCCGAAGCCCACACACCTCCCGCCACCGGCTAGCCCAACATCCTCACCGATGACTTTGCAGATCGCGGGGGCCGCTCCGCTCCTTCAGCTGGGCGATTGCCTCGCTAATCATAGCCGTGTAGGGTGGGTGGGCGGGGGTGGTTTTCTTGTTGGCGGCAGCCATGGTGCGTGGGGCTGGAAACGGGAGGGTGGCTGGGGGAGGAGCTTCAGCAGTCCGAGAGGCGCTGGCAGCAGTCGAGCGTTATGGCTGCTGCTGAACAGCCGCGTAAATAGGACAGTGGGCCTGGAGATGTTGTCGGGGGTGGGTGCGGGGTCCTGAAGAGCGTCTGGCACCAGCTGGCGCGCGCTGGAAAACAGGGAGAAGCCACGTCGTCTCCGGCCTCCCGCAGGCAGAACGCCTGCTAGCAATCCCATTATGTCGCACTATTAGAGAAACATCGTGTCCCGCAGAAGCCTAACCAGGCGCCCACAAATAACCCTCCATGCCTGAAGGCTGGGGCTCCCTCTGTACCCCCGGCTCTATTGTTGGACCGGGGAGTCCTGGGGGCTTGCATAGCCCCTAGCAGCAGGGACGTAGGGTTGTCGCCTTCTGCATGGTAGCGGCAGCATAGTGGCCGCCGCTTCCCTGCCAACGCCAGCTGAATTGTTGCCCAGCCCCAGAATCCATCGCTTCAGTCCGTCCGGGAGGGATGACAGCCAGGCAGCAGTCTCCATGCAGCAAGACAACGCCCGCAGCAGTGCCGACAACCGGCGTGGTCAAGCGGCGCAGCGGCGGGTACAGCCCGGAAGGCAGGCTCGACCGTGTTCAGGGGCCCAAGGTCTGCCAGGAGCGACAGGAGTGCGCAGCAGGGGCATGACAGGTAGTGAACACAGGGGGCATGCAGCGTGTAAGGGTGTGCATGGCAGTGAGAGCGCTCCAGAAAAATTGCAAGTGCTGGGTGTGGCAAGGGTGGCAATCCTTCAAACAGACGGGCGGTGTTGCGGCAGGAAGGTGTGCTGGGTGGAGAGCACTGGCAAAGAACCAAAAGCCACGTTCGGCCCTTTCTCAGCTCAACAAGTGTGGGCGGCGGGAGGGCCTAGGGCCCTGGCTGCCGCCGCGCCTGCTGCAGCCGCTGCTATGGCAGCTGGCAGCCAGGGCACGTCTAGTGTGCAGCGCAAGGCCCGGGAGACGCTCCAAGTTGGGATGCCGGCTCAGAGGTCCCACTTGATCCCAAACTTGATCTGTAGGCGAGAGGCGGGCATTGGGGGGAGGAGGGTGAAGGCAGAGGCTCTGCCTGGGCAAGCGTGCAAGGCCTGCCAGTGCATTGCAACCCTCAGAACAGCGCACAAAGGTCCCTGCTCCCCAGGGCTGCCTGCAGCCGCGTGGAGCGCTGCAGCAGGCCAGGCCAGCATCCTGGCCAGAAGAGAAGCCGACTGCAACGGTTAACCGCACCAGCGCCCGGCAACAGCACACAGGCGAGGGGGTGAGGAGCGGGATAGTCCCACCTTGGGGTCTTGCTGCCGGCGGACCGGGATGTCCATAGAGAGGGTGAGGCTGGCCTTGGCCGCATCCTCGCTCAGATTCTTGGGCGTGTGCTTGGCTGCGCAGCAGGCGGGCAGGCGCAGGCGTGGGGCAGGACGCAGGCGTCGGACGGCGCCGGCGCATGTGCAGAGGGAGTGGTGGTGGGAGGCTCCACAGGTTGGGAGGCAGGTGTGTGGCGGGCACAGGGGGGCGCAAACCCAGCCGGCGGCACGGACGGCGGGCCCCCAACAAGGCCCCACCTGCCACCGTGAGCACCTCGCTCTTCACGCCGTAGCTGGTCTTCAGCTTGGTGCCGTCCTGCGGCACAGCAGCACGGCTTGGTCGTTTCACGATTCGCAATGCTTTTGAGGGTGACCAAATACTAGTCGAAAGCGGAGGTTCAGGTCGCCCAACAGCAGGTCTGAGATGGTTGAAGGTTTACAGTGGACACCTCAGCAGGCAAACACAGCCTCGTCACCTCCTGGACCCCACCTCAAACTTGCTCTTGGCCAACAGATGCACGCCGCCCTTCTGGCTGAAGGAGGTGGCCGCCGAGTGCAGCAGCGGGCCCGCCGACAGCTTACTGCGCAGCCCGGCGGTGGGGCCCTGCACAGGAGGGGGAGACGAGCGTGCGTCCTGACATGCTGTGCATGCTGCCCTCTCTCCTCTGTTAATCGCACCATACCCTGCCTGGCTGCCGCCTGCTCTCGGGCGCGACAGTGGGCCGTACTGGGCAGCGCGGACCAGCCCCACCCCCCAAGCACGCCTGCCAGCCAGCCAGCCGTTGGGCGCAGGCCAGCACCTCTGTGCGCTGCGCCACACCCTCGTGCCGCCCCCTCCCTGCCTCCCCTGGCCGCCCTTCCTTCTCCCTCCGCCTCTCTCCCTACAGGAAGCCTCACCGCTGCGGTGGAGAGCTTCACGTAGGCCTTGTGCTCCTTATCCTCCCCAGCATACACAGTCTGCTCCAGCTTGCCCACGCGGCTGCGGCGCGGCAGGCAGGCGCCAGGGATGAGCAGGCCTGGCTGCCCGCAGGCACAAACCACCCACCCTCCCTGCCTGTCTGTCTGCAATGCACCGCGGGGAACCGTGGTGCATTGGGTCTCAACTGCCTGACTGCCTGCCGCCAGTTGCCACTTACTTGAGGAAGTCGTAACTCCCCACCGCCTTGCTGTGCTTGCCAAGCAGGCCGCCGCGGCTCAGCTCAAACACTGCAGGCACAGGCGGGCGGCAGCGCGAATGTTGGGGGTGGGCAGAAGGCCGACACAGGAGCGGGAGGACCGAAGGGAGACGATTGCACTCCCTGGCAGAGGCGGACACGATGCGCTGCCAGCAGCCGCAGCGGCACCCGCCTGGGTTGGGCGCCAGAGCCCACTTGCCGCCCGGCACGTGCTGCTTCACTGTGAGGGTGCTCTTCCCCAGCTTGGCCTTGTACTTGAGGTGTGTGTCCTGCAGGGCCGGGGCAGCGCCAGCCAAGCGGTGCCAGGGCAGCCAGGTGAGTGGTGCGGCAGCGGCCGGCAACAGCAGCGCATCGGCAGGCGCTGGGCCCCAAAGCGATCCCGCATCGCGCTTCCGCCGGCTGCTGGTGGGCGAATCGGTGGGCGCGCTTGTGCCAGGCGGCAGCGCAGGCCTGCTGCTTTCTGGCGGCCGCGGGGTGCGGTTGTGGCACAGCCCATGGCAGGTCCTCTCAGCCCGAGCCCCTCGGCTCGTTTTCAGCGACCTCGCCTTCTTGTGGAAGTCGTGCTGCACCTCCCACTGCTTGCCAGCCAGCGTCAGCGCAATCGCGTTGCTCGCCGAGCGGTGCGCCACGGTTGCCTGCGGCGGGTGGCGGCGGCAGCTGGTGAGGGCGGGGACCCTCCAACCCTCACGGCTGGATTGATCGACCGATCTCCGCCGCATAATATTTGACCGATCGCAATGCGGAAGGCAGGTGGGACTACAACAGCGCCTCGGCTGACAAATGTGTCCCGGCCACCCGCCTCCTCCCACCTTGAGCCCGTCCGTCAGCTTCACGGTGGCTTTGCTAGTGGCCGTTTTGCTGTTCAGCTCATACTCGCTGCCAAAGGAGCTGACTTTCACCATTGTGGGTCGGGCAGAACCTCTGCAAGTGCACAAACAGGCGTCTGGCAGAGGCCTGGCGATCGATGGGATCCAACAGTACAATGTGCAATGGATCTGGCCCTTTCTGGCGTCCTCATGCTGCGCCGCGCTGCTGCGCTGCTGCATCGCCCGCCAGCGCCAGGCAGCGGCGAGCCGTCACTTGCTCTTCAGCTATTACCTTACGCATATAGAAACATGAATTCTGATGGAATGGAATATGGATGCAACGGTCAGCCGTCAAAATTGGAACCGGTGTCTGCGGTGGTGTGCATGCCGCAGCATGCTGCATATGGTCGGCCGCGCCGGGCTCATGCCAATGGCGGCGGCATCTGAATGCCCCACTCCTCGCTGCCGCCGCTCAGCCCCTGCTGCAGCTGCTCCGCCAGCCACTGCGGCAGCAGGAGAGGGACAGGGGGCAGAAGTCAGGGCAGGGCAGGAGCGGCTTGAGGGCCGCGTATGCCCCGCCCCGCTTGCAGAGGCAGGCGGCCGGGCACGCGGGATTCCAGCATGCTGCCGCTGCCGCCGCCGCTCCCTGCCTGCGGCATGTCTTTATTCTTGGACGACGCCAGCTTGGCGGCCTGCTGCTTGGCCACCAGAACCGCCAGCTGCTTGGTCGCGCTGCACAGGGTGGGCGGGCGGGGCAGGGCAGGCTCGGGGCTGGAGGCTTGCTGGGGCGGGCAGGCGGCTGCGGTTGTGCAGCGGCTGTCGGCGAAAGCACTCATGGGGGACGCGCATGCCGCTGTTACTTTAACGCAAGATGCGTTGGTGCCATCCCAGCCACCCAACAGGGGCAATCCTCGCCCCGGGCCCTCCCACTCCTCCGCCGCCTCACCTGGCAATCTCCAGCTGCGGCTGCGTGGGCGTGCCGCCGATGTGCAGCGGCAGGCCCGCGCCCTCTGGCAGCGGCGGCAGGCCCAGCGCCGCCAGCGCGTCGCCTGCGGGGCGCGAAGCATCAATCAGCGGCAGCAGCAAGGGCTCATCCCAGGCGGCCCCACACCAGCCACCTCAAGCTGCATCCCAGCTCTCATCCCCGCCTCTGCTCCATCCACAGCCGCACACTCATGCACGCCGCCGCCCCCACACTGCTCACCCGGTATGCAGACGGTGGCATCCAGCACCGCAGGCGGCCTCAGGCTGGCGCTGCCCCAGCTGACCAGGTGCAGGCCCTGCTTCCAGGGGCTGAGGCCTGCGGGGGGGGGGGGTAGGGAGTCGGGGGGCCGTGTGTGCTGGGCAGGTGGGCGACCCACCAGCCTGCGACTTAGCCCTAAACCCTAAGCCCTGCAGCGCTCACCACCACCATCCATGCGCCGCCTGTGCAGTCGGATTGCCCGCTGCTGACCCACCGAGCCACCCGCCAGCCCACCCTGTACACAGCAACCAGCCACCGGCCCACCTATCCTGATATCTAGCCGCTCGGCGGTCAGCCGCCCATCGGAGCACAGCGTGGCCTGCAGCGGCGACAGCTCCGCCCGCAGGCTGCCGCCCAGCTTCAGCTTGCTGCAGGCGAGGCAGTGGACACACAGCAGCTCAGGCCAGGAGGAAGACGGGAAAGGAGGGCCCGGAATGTAAGGCGCGGAGCGGGAGCGAGGCGGGAGCGGCGGCGGCGGCGGGAGCGGCGGCAGGAGGCGCGCGGCGCCGGCGCCGGCCCGCGGCAGGGCGCGGGGTGCGGGGCCTCACCCGGCGGCCACAGCCAGCACGCCGGCAGACTGGCGCAGCACCGGCGACTCCCCGACATCCACAGACAGAGGCTCCACCTGTAGCGTGGCCTGCACGGTAGGGCGCGGCACGGCACAGCGCAGCAGGTCGCAGCAGGTCGCAGCAGGGTGCAGCAGGACACGGCACCGCGCAGCACAGCACAGCGCAGCGCAGTGCAGAGCGTGGCATGTCAGGGCCCAGGCGGGCTAGATAAGGCCCAGGCATCGCAGCACACTGGCACGCCACTGGCGCAGCAGGAGCAGCAGCAGGTGGTTGCCGCGAGGTGGCGGTGTGGACCTGGTTGGTGGGCCACAGGCCGTCGTGGGGCATCAGCTTGGCCTGGACCACCGTACTGCTCTTGAGGCCCACCGTGCCGCCCAGCGCTGGGTGCAGGTAGGCAAACAGGTATCTGCGGCACCACCAGCCACACATCCACTTACTCTAGCGGCGGCAGCGCAGCCCCAGGGTGGGTGCAGCTGTGCACGGGAGCTGGGCACGCACACGCTACCCTCCACCCCCTTTCCCATGCCCCCTTCCCATGCACGCCCCGGCGCCTGGGCCAGCCCTCCGAACCCTCTGCTTTCTTTCTTTCTTTCTTTCCTCAGCTCGCGCCGCACCTGCCGAGCGCGGGGGTGAACTGCATGCTGGCTTCCAGCGGGCGGTGCAGGTATGTGAAGCCGCGGGCCGTCTGCCAGCCCTGCAGCCGGAAGCGCATGTGCTGGGAGTCGAGGCGCAGGCTCACAGGCGCCTGAGGCATGCCTGCGGCCAGGCAGGGGCAGGGGAGGAGGGAGGGGAGGGAAGCAAGGGAGGGGAGGTTGGAGGGCGGATGGGAGTGACGGTTAGGGCAAGTGATGAGTCCAGCAGCCGCGCCGCGAGCACACACAACTGCCCGCCTGCTGCCGCAGGCCGGCTGTACGTGCCGCCCTGGAGCCGCGCCTGCCTGCCTGCCTGCCCGCCCGCCTGGCCCACTCGCCTGTGCCCCAGGGAAGCAGCACCGCGGGCCGCTGCCGAGCCCATTTGAGCTCCTTGCTGGTACTGCGCGCGGCGCCGCCGCCGGCCGCCGCCGCCGCCTCGCCAGCGGGAAGCTCGTTGGCCGCCGCCTCCTCTATCGCCGCAAGGCCGCGCAGCACCTCGAAATGGACGTGCCCGCCCAGCAGCTCCCTGCGGCGCGCGCGGGACCGCGGCGGTGGCGGCGGCGGCGGTGAGGGTCCTCGCCGCAGCGGGAGCAGCGCAGCCGTCGCAAGCACCAACAGTCGTGCGCAGCAGGCGTGTGCTGAGCAGCCCCCAACCGCAGAGGGGCAGCATGGGCAGCCAGCCCCGGGCAGCGGCAGCAGGCGGGGGCAGCAGGCAGCAGCACAGCAGCACACACCTAAACTCCGAGGGCACGAGGAGGGCGCCATCTGAGAGATACACGGCGGCGGACCCCAGGCGCAGCTCGCCTGCAGGCATGGTTGGCGGCGTTGAGTTGCGTTGCGTTGCGTTGCGGGCAAGGGCCGCTGGCTGTGGGCCCAGGCAGCTCTAGGCATGGGGGGCCAGGCAGGCAGCGGCCAGCCGCCGGCCGCCATGCAGCAGCAGTGTGGCGGCAGCACATGGAGGCGGGGGCCGGGGTGCGCATGGCAGGCGGGCCCCAGGCTGCAGGCCTGGCCCCACCTGAGAGCGCCACAGCGCTGCCGGCCTGCTGCAGGCTCTCAGGCAGCCAGCTCTTGGCGGCTGTGGGGGTGCCGCGGCCGCCGCCGCCGCCGCCGCCGTCGTTGCCACTGCCGGGGGCGGCGCCCTGCTGCCTCTGGGGCCGAGCGGGCGCCATGTAGCCTAGCAGGGCGACGGGTGACATGGCGGTGACGCTGCTGCGGGTACCGCCGGCCTTGCGCCTGGCAGCCGCCGCCGCCAGGCCAGCATGCTCGTGATCGCTGTCGCTGTCGCTGTCGTCTGCCTGAACAGCAGCCGATGCCAGGCCTGCAGCCCCCGCCCCGCGCTGCCCTGCCGCCGCCGCCTGCATCGCCGCCGCCTGCTGCTGCTGCTGCGCCACCGGGGGCGGCGCCGCGGGCTGGCCGGCCGCGCCGCCGTCGGCGGCGGGGCCGGAGCCTGCGTCGCCGGGGCCGGCGCCGGCGCCCCGCAGCTGCTGCTGCCCCTTGCGCTTGGCTGCCGCCGTCATCGCCGCCGCCGCCGCCGCCGCTTCGGCCAGGGAAGGCAGAGGGTGCTCCTCATGGTCGCTATCACTGCTGTCATTCCCATCTCTCCTAGCCCTCTCTGTCGCTGCCGCCACCCGGGCGTCTGCCAGCTCAGCGGCAGGCACCGGCGCCTTCCCCCGGCCAGCACCTGAGGTGCCGCCCCCTGAGCCGCCGCCGCCGGACCCGCTGCTGCCGCTGCCGCCACTGGCGCCGGCGGCAGCGCCGGCGCCGGCCTGGCTGCCGCCGGGCGGCACGGCGGCCTGCGCGGCCGTCGAGGGCGGCACACCGGGGGCCTTGGGGGCGGGGTGCGGCACGGGCACCAGGCCGGCCTGCTGCAGCACGGCCAGCAGGCGGGGCGTGCCTGCCGCATTAAAGGTGCAGTCCACCTGGGGCCTGCTCACAATCGCCTCCACTGCACGGCACACAGGGTGGCGGGTGGGGAGGTACTGTCGGTGGTACTGTCGGCGGTACAGTTGCATGTGCGGTACTACGTGGTGGCGGGGAGCGTGCCGGCAGCAGGCCTGGCGCTACAATGTCCCTGCACAGGCTTGGCTTGGTTCTGACCCCGGTGGATTGGGTGGCATGCAGCCGAGGCGGCGGTTTCTTCGGGCGCCCCGGCACCAACCCACCTTGCTCGCCCCTCAGCAGCTGCCAGAGCGTCTGGCCAGTCCTCAGCCGCTCCACTTGCACCAGCGTGCGCCGCCGCCTGGCGCCGCCCGCTCCCGCCGCGGCCGCTGCCGGCGGCGAGGCGACTGCGCTGCCGCCCGTCCCGCGGCCCCGCTGCCTGTGCCTCGCGCCACCGCCGGCGCCTGCCGCGCCGGCGGCAGCGGCCGCGGCGGGCTGCGGCGGCGGGGCCGCCGCCGCCTCCTCCTCCTCACTGCTGCTGGGATCGAAGGAGGCCCCACGAAAACCGTCCAAGCCGCCGTCGGCGCCCGCGCTGCTGCTGCCGCTGCTGCGCTCCACGATGCGCAGGCCGTGCAGCTGCAGCGGCTGCTGCCAGCCGGCCTCCAGCCGATCCAGGTGGAAAGAAACGGGGGCTGGCACCGCCAGGTTGGCTGTTGCCAGGGCCAGCCGCAGGCCCAGCGGGTGGCTGAGCGCATAAGGCGCCGCCGCCACAAGGGCCGCAGCGGCCGCCGCCGCCGCCGCCGTCCATTTGACCGTCGCCAAGGCCAGCGCACGGCGCGGGTGGCGCTCGCCGCCACCGCCGCCGCCGCCTCCGCTGCCGCCACCTCCGCCGCCGCCGCCGCCGCCGTGGTTGCCGCCGCGGATGCTGCCGCCGCCGCCGCCGCCATCCCGGCTGATCTGCTCCGTGCTTTGGCCCGTGAGCTTGCGGGTCCTGGCCACCAGCTGGCCTGCCCTCTGAGGCGGCGAGGGCAGCTGGCTCCAGGCGCCGCGGCCGCAGGCGGCTGGCGTGAGGCAGGGCCCCAGCGGGCTCCACCCCCGCGCGACTCCCGCACCAAGCAGGCTGGCTCTTGTGTTCATGCGCGCTGCGCTAGGCCCTGGAGGGCCCGTTGGCAGAGAGGCTGTGAGGCACCTCCGACATCTGGGCTGATGGTGGCGAGGCCCCTGGAGAGCACCCGCAATTGAATGTATGGCTTGTCCACCGACGATCGACAGCTGTGGTGCTCCTCTGGGCGCCGCTCCACGGCGCCACTCCCCATGCCGGCCATTCCTTCCACCTCGCCCAGAAGCTCTCAACAGCGGGCGGCATCTGGGCTTGCAGCGTGCTTGTGATCCCTGCCTCCACCTGCCCAGCATCGATTGCCAGCCCCTGCCCACCACAGCCACCCCTCAAGACCACCACCACCATGGCGCTGGCCCGCGGCTTTTCGCAGCAGGTTGTGAGGAGCTTCGCCCCCGCCTGCGGCTTCATGACATCCGCAGCAATCAGGGTGCGTCTGGGCGCGGGGGACAGCATCGGGGCCTCCAGCCACGCGCCCATATCTGCTGCTCGTGGGTGGAACTGCTTGCGCAGTCGACGGGCTCTGCCACCAGCAGTGCACATCAGCACACACAAACACATCCCAGCGGGCGGGGCCAGCCGCTGGGAAGCAGCAGCGCCAGCCACCACTGCGCAGTTCGGAGTTCGGGAGCGGCGGCGGCGCCCCGCCGGCCGCTCGTGCGGCCCCGTCAGCCACGCCCCAATCTGCTGCACGTCTACTGCGCAGCCCCCGCTGCTGTCGGACCTGAGCGTGAAGGAGCTGCGCAGGTGGGCAGCTGTGGTGTGGGGGGTGTGAGTGTGGGTGGGTGGGGGTGTGCGGTGGTGTTTGTAAACGGTGTGGTGTATGTACAACGTATGGGAGCAGGGTGGGTGGGAACGGGGGCAGGAGGCCGCGCGGGGCCGCCGCCTGCTGCGCCCTGTGCTGCGCCTCCGCGCCTGACAGCCTGGCGCCCTCCTCTCCCTCTCTCTCTGCAGCATGGCGGGCCTCGGCAGCGAGTGATTCTGGGGCCCAACCGATGGCGCACAGACGCACGCGCCCCGTCCTCTCTCTCTCTCTCTCTCTCTCTTGAGTGATCCGGCCCAGCAGGCGCGCGCCGCCCCGTCTTCTCTTCTCCCCACCCCTAAACCTGCCTTTCATCATCTAGCACCAACTCAACTTTTCCAGCCAGAGACCTGCTCCCCGTGCGCCCGTCGAGACCCTGAGAAGAAGCGAGTCGGCACGCATGCGCCGCCGACGCCACATTTTCACCCCCACACACGCACCGCTCGAGGGCAGCCCCTCGCCCCTGTGGACTGACGTTTGATTCCCCCCGCCCACTGCTATTTTCCCCGGTCAGCAGATTTTTTTATGTGTAGATGCCAGAGGTCCCGCTTCGCAATACCCTTGGGATGTTTTGTACTGCAACCATGGCGGCCTCCCGCCGCCAGCCCTTTCTCGCCAACGCTTGCTGTGTTGTTTCAATGCCTGCGGCCGACTTCCCCCGAAGCGGGGCTTCGCCCCTCATTTGTGCCCCCACTCCCCTGTATCTAGCGTGTCGCCTATTCACCACAGCAGCAGCGCCGTGCTGCCGCAATAAACCCCCGCTTTTCCTCGCCACCCCCCTACATATATTCCTTGGCTTGCAGTTTCATATCAATCCTCCAGGCTATCCCCCCCAGCTACAGCGACCCCGCAGGGTCTCGGAGGCCCTACTCATTTTGGCCCAGACAGAACCCCGTTTTCCTCGTGTCGTGTGTAATTTTCCTCACGTGTAATTTTCCTCGTGCTACGTTCGCTCCAGAGGTCGCAAACACCAGGCGCAGCAGCGGGGCGGCGGCAGCGGCAGGATCGGTCGGCTGGCGGGAGGCCGCCTACTAGCCGTAGCACGGCTCTGGGCAGCACTAGAAGGTACAATAGTAACAATAGCAGGCATTGATGGCATGCGTTCAGGGGGTGGTGTGCAATACACAGCACTGCGCTCCGCGACAACGTCGCTCGTCCCATTTCCCAAACCCTTTGCGGCGGTGGGCAAGCCACCACAGCGCCCCCTGGTGCTGTAGGGCTGGCGGTGCCTGGTTCAGGGCCCCGACGGCAGCTAGCCGCCTCATCTTGCACCATGCCTCAGGGCTCAAAGTCCTGGGTGGCGGCCTCGGCAAAGACGTCGTCAAAGAGCTTGGAGGAGAGGTAGCGCTGCGGGGGGATGGGGGAAGGGGAAGAGGGTGAGAGTCAGCCATCTGGTGCACACACACACACACACACATGTATCTGTATGTGCATAGCTGGCCGGGTGGGCGGCGCGGGCGAGGGCCTGATGACCAGGCGGGCAGCGACGCCCAGCCTCACCTCCCCAAAGCTGGAGAACATGACCACGATCAGCTTGCCCTTGTTCTCCGGGCGGGCAGCGACCTGCGGGAGGCGGGCGGGCGCGGTGTGCTGAGCTGGCACCCGCCCGCGGCACCGCCACGCCGCAGCCAACCGCCGCCCCCTGCCCCACGAGCGCCACGGCCGCCTGCACCTTGCCACACAATGCACCAGCAGCTGCCTGCAGGCTGGGAAAAAGGGCAATGAGGGAGGGCTCACCCGAAGCGCAGCGGTGGCGGTGGCGCCTGACGAGATCCCCACAAACAGACCTTCCTCCTTGGCCAGCTTGCGGGCCATTTCGAGCGCCTCCTGGCTGGACACCTGCGGCAGGCGGGCGGTACAGGGCAGTACATGCGGCCAAGGTCAACGACAGCGGTACATGTGTCCAGCAGCAGCGGCAACAGTGACACCCAGGGTCGAGCAGCCTGGCTGCAGGTGCGTGGCAGCAAGGCACCCGCCGCCGCGGTGCCCCCCCCCCCAGCTGGCCGTACGCCACGGCGGTATGGGCTGCGTTACCGCCCATGCCACCTCACCATCACCACCTCATCCAGCTGGTCAACGTCCAGCACCTTTGGGATGAAGCCTGCAGGCCTCAGATTCCAGTCGGGGGTCACAGATGCGGCCAGGAACCAACGTTTACCCCGCCACGGGGCAGGCTTGCTGGCAGGGCGGGCCAGTGCACACCAGCGGCGGCACACGCCCCTCGCAGGCAGGCAAAGCAGGCAGCCCGCTGGGCCCCCAGCCCCGCCGTCCCGCTGATCAGTGGAGTGGCAGGCTGCTGCTGCTGCCGCAGCTGGCGCCGCGCCTGCCGCAGCTGCCGGCTCGCTTGGCTGGGCATGGACCACCTGGCGTTGTTGGGGGATCGGGACACCCTTGCACCCTCACATGGAGCCCAGCTTAAGCCCACCTGCGCCCATGCCTTGGATCAGGTGGTTGGTGTGCGTGCCGCCGCTGATGACCGGCGACTCTGTGGGCTCCACAGCGATGAGCTGCAAGGGAGGGGGGCAAGGCACCGACAGCGTGTGCTGGGTGTGGGTGGTGGGGTGCAAAGAAGCGGGATGCGGCAGCGAGCGCAGCCAGGGCCCTGCCCACACCTCCCCCATCCACCCACCCAACCCGGCGGCTGGCTGGCCCACACACTCTCAGAGGATACCCTCCACGTCCCCCTGGCCCAGTGCCGCTGGCCCAGCGCGCGCGCCCCCTTCCTCGGCGCCCCTCCATGCTCCGCACACTACACTACCACCCCACCCCATCACAACACGCCGCTGCCGCCGCCGCCGCCGTCGGCCTCCTTAGCAAACCCCAGCGCACCTTGATGTCTGGGTTCTGTTCCTTGAGGAACTTTCCCGCCCCCGTGATCGTGCCGCCGGTGCCCACCCCCGCAATGAAGATGTCCACCCTGCCGGCCGTGGCACGCCAGATCCTGCACGCAGGGGGGGAAGGAGGGGGAAGGGGAGGTGCGGATATTTGTGAGTGGGAAGGGAGGGAGGCGAGGGAGGCGCAGCAAGGGAAGTGCATTTGCATCTTGCGGTATTTACCGCCGGCGCCGCCAACAACACCGGCGTTGCCATCACACCACCGCCACCACCACCACAACCACCACAACAACAACAACCACTGCCGCCGCTCACTCGGGGCCCGTGGCGGCGTAGTGGACTTGCGGGTTGGCGGCGTTCTCAAACTGGTTGAGCATGTAGGCTCCCGGGGTGCGCTCCATAACTTCCAGAGACTTGGCATACGCCCCCAGGCAGCCTGCAGGGCAAGCGGGCGACAGTGGGTGGGCGGCGAAGGTCGGCACAGGCCGGGAGCAGGGGCCCAGCCGGCCTGCGCAGGGCAGCAGCGGGCAGCGGGCGCCGGGAGCGGCGCCAGCGGCGCCCGCGGCGGCGGCAGACCCCTGTTCCGCAGAGGGGAGGCAGGCTCGACAGCCAGCACGGGCGCTAGAAGCAGCCGCCGCAGTGCCGGGATGCGGCGCGGAGGAGCAGCAGGCTGCACAGGCGGCTCCAGCAGCGGCGGCGGCGGCGGCAGCAGCAGGGATGGAGGAGGAAAAGCAGGAGCAGGCTGGAACAGGCATCGGCTGCGGGGATCCCCACCTTTGGCGGGGTCTGACAGCACCACCTCCGCTCCAAACAGCTGCAGCAGGCCGGGGCGGGGCACCAGGCGGGCGGCAGAGCTGTGGCAGCGCAGGGGCGCTTCCCCCAGCACCGAGCGCTGCACACTGGGCGGCACAGCGTGCCGCAGCACTGGGCGGCCACGGCCCTGCTGGCAGCGCCACCCCCCGCACGCCGACCTTTTGCAGAGCCTTGCGTTCTGTGGAGCAGTAGTGAGGCATGCACAGGATGAGGCGATAGCCGCGGGCGGCGGCCAGGAATGCCAGGGACACGCCCGTGTTGCCGGATGTGGCCTCCACCAGCACCGTCTGCGGCACAGGAGGCGAGGCGGGAAGAGAGCGTGTGGCCAGCGGTTGGGGGTGGGTGGATGGGCCAGGGGGCGTGCCCAACTGAGCCCCTGCCGCGGTGCCCGCCGGCGGGCGCTGGGGGCGCGCCCGCGGTTGCACGGAGGCTGCACCGCAGCGGCGCAGCGGGCGCCTTGCGGGGTGGCCCCGCCTGCGCATCCCGGGGCATCCTCAGCGCCACACACACACACACACACAACACGCACGAGCGCCACCCCGCCGCTGCCGCCGCTGCCGTCACCTTGTCGGGGCTGATGAGGCCCCGCCGCTCCGCATCCTCCAGCATGGCCAGGGCGATGCGGTCCTTCACGCTGCGGGGCAGGAGGCGAGGTAGAAAGTGAATCTTCAAGCCTTTATAAGTAAGTTACGGGAAAGTGAGGCTTACTAAGTAAGGGGGGGACCCTTCTGAGGCCGCCCGGCACAGGTGGGAAGCGGCAAGGCAGCTCGCTTGCTGGTTTTGCCGTAAGGCTCTGTCCTGCCCATACCCAGGTACACACACAGGCACCTTGTTCCCCAGGGTGGGGAGGGCATGCTGGGTGCGCTGCCCAGCGGGCGCGCTGGCGGCGGCAGGGCTGTTGCAGGCGCAGTGCCAGCTGGCGGGCGCAGGCGCCGAGGGAGGTCCCGCCTGCGAGGGCGGCCCCACCTGGCCAGCGGCTGGAAGGCCTCCAGCTTCGCAGCGATGGTGGCGTGGTCCTCCTCGCCCTTGGCCTTCTTCAGATAGACGAGGGGGGTGCCGGCGCGGTCTGTGACAGCGGCGGCGACAGGTGGCGGGCGATGGCGGTGTGGGCCCCAGACACGACTCTCGAGAGCGATAAGGTGCCTCCACTGGCGCTAGGAGTGGATTCTGGTGAGGTTTCAGTGCACAGCGAAAGGCTGCGAGTGAACGTGCCATCCACTGGATGATGGGCAATTGCTGGTGCATGCCGCCGGCCGGCGAAACCCTTGGTGCGCCCGGCTGCCAGTCCACTCACTAACGAGATCGCCGGCATCCTTGGCGATGTCCAGCTCGTTCAGCGCGGCCTGCTGCTTCAGGGCCGCCGCAGGGTTCTGCACATCGACAGCCAGGTTTGGCATGGTTGTTGAAGAGCTTGCAAGCGGTCTGCAGGTGCGGGGATGGAAATGTGGGAGAATGGGGCGCGTTTCCGCAATCAATTGGCCTGTGCCGCCGAGTTGTACCAGCTGGCCCAGCAGAGCGAGACGTGGCCCCGTCCAGCAAAACTTGATGACGACGACAGCGTATTACAACATCCCCCCGAAGCCGGAGTATAGCCAAGAGCACAATGCAGGCCGCCCCCGTCCAACTGCCGCCAGCAGGATCGCATGCTTCCGGCCGTAGCTATCACGCCGCCAGGCGGGGCCCTTGCAGGCGCCCACTGCGCGTCTGCGCCTACCTGGAACCGGCCCCCGTCGCCACGGCGGGCAACAAGGCGGAAGCGCCCGTGATCGACGCTCAGGGTTTCCTGGCGCCGGAGCGCGACGGGGCTCCGCCGCCTGCTGACGTGGCCGCCGCCATCAAGGCAGCGGGCGCCGAGGCGGGCTGTTTCCAGCTGGTCAACCACGGCATCAGCCTGGGACTGATAGGCGACATGCAGCACGAGGCACGCCGCTTCTTCAAGCTGCCCCTCGAGCAGAAGCTCCAGGTGGGGTGGCCCGGCGCTGGGCGCCATTGCGTGCGCAGCGTGGCAGAGCCGGGCACCACCGCCACCCGGCCCCCGCCGCCGCCGCCAAACCTTGCTTCTGGCTTGCCTGCAGGTGAAGCGCACCACGCAGAACCCCAACGGATTTTTCAACGACGAGTTCACCAAGAGGGTGGGAAAGCAGCTGCCAGGCAGGGAGCAGGCATGCATGGTTGAGGCAGGCAGCCCACACGACAGCTGCAGGCAGCCGGCACCAGCTGCATCACGGCCACCTCATTCCATGCCCCCCCGCTGCCTCCGTGCTCCCCGCCCCCTGCCCTGCCTCCATCTCTCCTGCCACGTGGCATCTCTCCCGCAGATACTCGACATCAAGCAGGGATTTGACTTCTGCTACGAGCCTGCTACTACGTCTGCCGCCGCCTCGCTGCCACCAGCGCACGCCCCCGTGCTCTCCTCCCCCAACCAGTGGCCCGAGGGCGAGGTGCGGCGCGGCCAGCGGGCAGCATGCGGCTGCATTCGGGCGAGCCGTGCCGCCTCCTGCCGGCGGCAACCTCCCTGCCGCACGCCCTACCCTCGCGGTGGGCGCCAGCCAGCCGGCGGCGGCGGCCTCACCGTGGCCCAGCCCATCAGCTCTCTGCTGCCGGTGTCGCTCGCGGCAGGGGGGTGGCGGCCTGGTACATAGAGCTCTGCCTTGTCCTATGCGCCACTGCAGGAGGAGTTCCGGTCTGTGCTGAGCGCCTACTTTTCCGAGATGTCCCGCGTCAGCTTCAAGCTGCTGCAGGCATTCAGCCTGGGGCTGGGCCTGCCGCCAGACGCCATGCACCACCTGTTCCAGGTGGGTGGGTGCGTGGGTGGGTGGGTGGGCATGCTGGCAGAACGCGAGCGCATGCCTGTCGGCAGCACGCGAGCGCATGAGGGGCGAGGCGAGGCTGCCGCTGCCTGCCTGCCTGCCCACTCAGCTGCCCACTGGCGTGTGCTGCCCACCTGCCTGCCTGCATGCATTTGGCTACCTACCTACCTACCGACCTGCATGCCTGCCATCACCAACGGTACCGCCTGCCCCCGCAGGACGACCATTCCTCCTTCATGCGCCTCAACTGGTACCCCGCCACCCCACCCAGCCAGCAGGGCCTGGGGCTCAACCACCACACAGGCGGGCGCCCCCCTGTGCTGCGCCCGCTGCACTGCGCCCGCTGTGCTGCGCCCCGCCGCCCCCCTCTCTGCCTGCAAGCGGGTCGACAGCGCCTAGGGCCGCCCCGCATGTCCAGCCGATGGTTTGAGCAGGGAGCGGCTTGGTCCCTGGTCACACCGGCGGCTTCTTCTTGACAGTGCCTGGTGGCGTAGCCCCTCTCCTTTCTTTTTTCTTTCCTACACATCTTTTCTCCCCCTGCAGATGCCGGCTTCCTCACCATCCTCGTCCAGGACCCAGAGGTGCACGGCCTGCAGTTCCACAAGCACGGTGAGGGGCTGGCGGGGTGCTGTGCAAGGCGCCGACAGCAGCTGCAGGCTGCGTCGCGCCCGCTGCACAGCACGCGCCGCCGCCACATCAGCAAGCGGCCGGCATTGGGGACGGCAACGCTGTGCTGTGCATGCTGCGCGTGCTGCAGTCGTGCTGTGTGCGCCACCCTTGCCGGTGTGTGCACGAGGTGCTGCACCCGCCACATAGCCCGCCCGCCTGCCCCACCAGTCCTACCAACCCCACACTGCCCGGGTCCCGGCTGCCCGGCTGCCATGCAGGCCAGTGGAATAGCGTCACTCCCGCGCCCGACGCACTCACCATCAACGTGGGTGATCAGTGCCAGGTGTGCTGGTTGAGGTCTGCGCGCGTGGGCATGTTCTTGTGTTGTTGGTGGTGGGGAGACAGGCAACACCCATTGCGTTCGGCAGCAACTGCCTGGGGAGTGGCGGCAGCACTGGGCACTGGCACCGGCAGCGGCGCCCATCTTCACCTCACCGCCCTGCTGGCCGCATCCGCCCCACCCAGCCACCACCACTGGTACCCCTGGCCCAGCCCCCATGCATGCGCCGCCTGCAGGTGCTGACAAACGACCTGCTGAAGGCCCCCGTGCACCGCGTGCTGTCTCCTCACAGCCAGGCCCGCCTGTCGGCTCCCTTCTTCTTCAACCCACGCCTGGGTGCGCACCCGACATGCACGCTCACCCCAAAACCGCTTGCCACTGCTTGGTCTGCTGGGAGCCGACCGCCACGCCGGCGGACAAGATCTCCTGCCTGGTTTTGAGGCGCTGGCCTGCAATTGGCTGGCTGGGGTGCAGAGGCGATCATCGAGCCGCTGGCGCCCTTTGTGACCCCCGACACGCCCGCCGTGTACAAGCCCATCCCCTGGAGCCACTTCCGCAACCTGCGATATGCGGGTGGGTGGGGTGGGGAGGCCGCCTGGTGGGGAGGCGGCGGTGGCGGCAGCCGGCAGGAACGGCGCGGCGGGCATCCGGTGAGCAGCGGGGCCATTGCCGCCGGGAATTCCGGGAGGTCGAAGCGGCGGCCACCCGGTGCTGCCAGCGCTGATTCCGGCAGGCTGGGCTGTCTCCTGCTGCTGCTGCTGCAGGCGACTACCAAGATCAGGGGGTGGAGGTTCAGGTGCGTTTTGCAGTACGTGCGGTTGCCAGGCAGCTTCCTGAGTACTGCACGCAGCAGCTGCCCGCCGAGCGCCGCCTCCCCCTCCTGCAGCATATAGCCGCCGCCGCTGCTACGGGGCTGCCAACACCTGCTGCACTGCTTTGCCAGCGGGTGCTGCTAGCATCTCACCTGTGTGCCCGCTGCTGGCCCCGAGCAGATCTACCATTTCAAGCGGTGACGCCACGGCCCAGGATCAACCAGCTCTTCAGATGTGATGGCCCACATGTGTTTGACCCGCACATGGCGGAAACTTCTGTAAGGACGTGTCGCCAGCGCGTGCCCTTGCAACCGCCACCCCCGGCGCAGCTTGAGTTGCCGGCTCCGGTGCTGTGGCTTCATGTGGCTCCATGAGACCGATCTAACCTGATTAGCATGCCTCCAGCAGCCTCTGCTGCTAGCAGAGTACCGGTGTGCAATTGTGTGGCTGGCAGCTGAGCGCCGCTGGAGGCACGCTGCCACTGGTCCCTCTCAGGGGAAAGTTTCAACACACTCGCCCTCCAACACACTCGCTCTGCTACAGCTGGCCACCATCATTGCAATCCAGCTATCGAGTGTTGCTCAGCCTGACATGGCGAGTCGGCAAGCCCGCGCCCCGATGGCGGCCCTCACGCTGGCTCTCCTGATGATTGTCGGTGATTGAATGCCACCTATCAGCTCCTGCCTGCTGCGTGGGACCGCCAGCGGTGCTCTTTAGCCGGCGACAGGTCATCTTGTAGCCTCTGCAGCGCTCCTCCGTGAAGTTCCTGCTGTTTTCTGGCAGCATTGCGAAAGGTGGGATCCGCCGCGAAGTCGCTGGGGCCACCGGCCTCCCTTCCCGGCCCGTTGATGTGCAGGCGGCACCGCCTCCGAGGCCGCCGCCACCTGCCCAGCTTACTGCTGGTGCGGCGTGAAGGGGCCAGATGGCAAGCTCTCCACCGTGTGCTTCGGTGGCCTGGCTTCAAAGCTCCCCAAAGGCGTGAGTGCAGGCGGTCGCATGCAGCAGGCTCTTGACCCGTGTGCACGCCACGGTGCCTCGTGCCCGCTGTACTTGTGTCCAGGCCGTTGCCTCCTCTGCGCGGTGCCTCCCATGCAGGCCGTGATGGTGAGCCCCTTCCTCCTGTTCGGCCCCGCTCTGGAGCTGGAACTGCTGGCACTGAAGGGCCGGCGCTGCTCCAGGTGCTGACAGGCCTCCCTACCTGAACCGGCCCGCCGCCGCCGCCCCCCGCCTCTCTCCAGCCCTGCCGCTGGGCAGCCCACCCAGCAGCTGGGCCCAGGGCCGGCGCTGCGGCTGTCACGCCTGTACGACGATTGAACCCCGTTCCTTTTGATCTGGCCCGGCGTGCAGCGCCGCGGGCGTGGCAGCCGACTGCCTGCGCCAAAGGATCGCCGCCGCGCGCCTCTACTCCTTTTCTCCCAAGCTGCGAGCTGGCAGGTGGGCGGCAGGCACGCGGGCAGGGCGTGCCGCCCGCTTCCTGTGCTCATGGTTTGCGTGCTCCTTCAGCCTGCGCCGTGCAGCGCAGCTGACTGCCTCTACGTCTCCCTCATCCCCTGCCTCCAGGTGCAACTGCCCCTCCAACGCCCAGCTGTGCAAGCGGCTGCCGCAGCTGGCCACCACGCCCTACGGCAAGTGGGTGCCCGCTCGAGTGTACAACCTGCTCAAGTGCGCCAACAAGCCCCCCACCACCAGCCGCCCGCGCCTGGCCGCTTTCCTCAGCAACAACCAAACCTTCTGCGATGGGTATGCCGGAGCGGTAAGGCCTTTGCCCGCGCCGCGACGCCGCTGCTGGCACTGGTGCTGCTGGCGGTGCCGCCCCTCGCAGCGCCCGCTGCGCGCCAACCGGCCGGCTCGCACCGCCTCGGACAGATTGGTTTCATGTTCATTTGCCCCTGCCACCTTTCCTCTCCTGCCGCAGATCAACACCATAATTTCCGACGTCATCACCGGCGTCTGGCCGGGCGTCCAGAAGCAGCTGCCCGCCAGTATCGACCCGGGCGACGCGCTCAAGAAGGAGTTTGTGAAGGGCTTGCTGTTCAGGCACGCGCGGGAGCGCGGTTCAGCCGGCCCTACTCTCCTGTGGCGTCAGCTGCCTGTGGTCCGTTTGCAGATCCAGGGTTCTTGGGGTTGGGGTTGGATTCACCCTATCGCCTACGCCCCCACAGCCCGCCCAGCGGCGCCTGCTCACTGCCTCGTGCCGCGGGGTGCAGCGCTGATGCCACTGAGAGCCGGGGGCGTGCCACCTGCTTGCAGCGAGGCGATTGTGGACGTCGAGCTGGACCGCATCTCTGGGCTCAACACCATGCCCAAGCCCACGCTGGAAATCCTGAATGTGCCTGCCTGCTCCAACCTGTCCCTGGTGGTGGTGAGCTGCCTGCCCCGCCTGCCCCACCTGCCTGCGCACCCGAGGCCCGGGCAGTGTGTGCTACACCGTGTAGCATGCACCAGGTGGTGCCGCTGCGTCAAGAGGGAGGCAGGCCATGCCATGCCGTGCCTCACCAAACCATGTATGCTGCCACCGTTGCCGCAGGCCAACCTCAAGGCGACCAGCGGGCTGGCCAAGCTGACTGTGACGGGCTCTGCCGGGGCGACGTACCGACCAATCTTTTTCATACCAAGCCCACTCACTGGCACCGCCTACATCACCATCACCCTCACAGACGTGACCCTGGAACTATCAGCACCGGCCACCGCGGGGCTGAGTGAGCCGCGCTGCCTCCCGTGCCGTGTCCCTGTGCCCTACCGCGCCACGCCAGGCGTGCCAAGCTCTGCCGCTGCCCGGTTGCGTGCGATCCTTTGCCACCTTGCAAGCGACCCCCGCAAGCCAGCCCCACCACGCCCCATGCTGGTGGCTGCCTGCATCTTGCCTTCCCTGCAGCTGTGGGTTTTACTGGCTACGAGGCCTGCGCCTCCATCCCAAAGTTTGATACCGTCAAACTCACCGCAAAAAACACCCGGGTGGCCATATCAAGCTGGGCGGCTGGCATCATCCCGATAGGTTCGCCAAGCCGGCCGACCTCGTGCTGTGCATGCTGCGTGCCCGGGTGCTGGCGCCAGCTGCCGCCAAGGCGACGGGCTGCCACCGGCTCGATGCAGCGGGTGCCAAGCGGGATGCTCTGCTGAACGAGCGGCCACACGTGCAGCGCCGCCACCGTTTGACCGACTGTGGGGTGTGGGGTGGGCGCAGGCTGGCTGACGGACTTCATCATCAGCTCGGTTGCCACGAGCCTGATTCAACCGGTGATCAAGTGAGCGGTGGTGCAGATCAGCGCCAGTGCAGTACAGCTTCCAGTGGGGATGCAGTACAGCTCGGGAGCTGTTCTGGGCAGTCTCCACGCGGCATGACTCCAGGCACCGTTGTGGCCGCTGCCGGGCAGGCACTCACCACCTGCTCCTGCTGCCCCTCCCCTGCTGTGCGTGGCGGGGTGCAGCGAGTGGGCCCCCGCAGCCATCAAGGACATCCTGAACAGCCAGGCAGTCACCTCCCAGCTGGCGGGCTGCCAAAAGAGGAACCCGCTAAACATGTGTGTGTGTGTGTGTGTGTGTGTGTGTGTGTAGCCTCCCGCATTGCGTGTGCTGTGCCTGTGGGCCCAGGGCTGCTTGAGGAGTTAGCCGCGCCAGCTGCAGTGCACTGCCTCGTGCGCCCGCCTTGTGCGCTTCCACCGGGCCACCTCTGCTTGTGTGTGTGGGGGTGATGGGACTGCTGCTGAGCGGGCCGCCGCTGCCACGCCTGCTCCCTGCAGCTGCACCGATTGGATCAACTGCAAGGTGGGTCGGCGGCGCATGCGGTAGCAGCTGCTGGCCTGGCCTGGAGGCTGTGGGAGGCTTTGCCTGCACCATGCGCCTGCCCTAGCGCCTGTGCTCATGTGCCGGGACTGACTGACTGGCTGACCAACCCTCCCTGCCCCCCGCCTGCCCTCCTGGCATGCTTTGTGGAGCCAGACCGGTGTGAGGACTGTGTGGTGGGGACGGCGCTGGTGGAGGGCAAGTGCATCCCTTGCGGCGACGGCTGCAGCGCCTGCACGGCCGGCCCGGACAACAAGCCGGTCTGCACGGCGTGCCGCAAGGGATGGTATGCCGCTGGCACCGCCTGCACCAAGGTAGGCACCGGCCGTAGGGGGCCACCTGCAGCTTTGCTTGCGCAGGCCGTCTGCCCGCATCAAAGCAAGCAGGGAGGCGGCGACGCTCGCATGCTCGCTTGTATGGGCTTACAGTCCGACGCCGTACTGCAGGCGGCGACGCCGTACTGCATTCTCATCTCCCTCTTTCTGCCGCGCCTGCCCTACCTGCTGGGCGCCGCCGCTGCCTCCCTGCAGTGCCCTGCCGCCTGCAACTCGTGCGCGGCCGTCGGCTCTGCGGTATATTGCGACGCGTGCGCGGATGGGTACAAGGATGCGTGCGGCGCGACGTACAAGGAGGCATGCGCGGCGGGGTACAAGGACTGCATCTCCTGCCCCGACCCGCACTGCAACCGCTGCGCCACGCCGGGCAAGTGCGATGTCTGTGCGCCGCCCTACGCGGCCAACGCCACCGGAGGCTGCACCACCATTTGCCTCGTGGGCAACTGCACCGCGTGCGTGGACGGCCAGAGCGGCGCCTGCGCCGCTTGCGCCGACGGCTACCGGCTGGCCACCCCCTCGCGCTGCGTCTCCTGCGACTTCCCGGCCTGCTCCACCTGCCCCCAGGGCCCCTGCACCACCTGCAAGGTGGGCTATGGCTTCAATGCTGCCGTCGGGGCCACCGCCTGCATCAAGTGCGCGGAGTGGGCCCGCTGCGCCACCTGCCAGTCGGGAAACCCGAACAAGTGCACCAAGTGCCTCAACCCGTGAGTGGCCGCACCTGCGCCTGGCGGGCCAGCGGGCCGGATGCGTGCCGGCAGCCCGGGCCGCCCCTGCCACGCCGGCCTGCGCCGCTGAACCCCCATGCGTTGTGGCGACCCGCACGCTGGTGTGGCCGCAAGAGCCCTGCACACGACTACCTACCTGCCTGCATTGCAGGAGGCACATCATCCTCAACGGCAATTGCCGCATCCCATTTTGAGCCGCCAAGCGCCCGCGCCCTTGGTCCTGCCGCTGCGCCATCCGGGGAACCAGCTGGGGAGCCATCCCCTTGGCTGGCTGGCACCTTCTGCCAGGCTTCCCACACTTCTTCCACTGCCCAATCCACCAACAACCCGGGGGCCCCAGCCTAACCCTGCCCTCTGCATACATACACTTCCTCAACCCACATCCGCCCCAGTTCCAAACCGAGCCTAAGCAAAGTGTGTATTGGGAGAGCCTGTTGAGAAGCTCCCCCATCCACTCAATTCTGGTATTGCAGTACCACGTAAGTACCGCTTCGCAACTGTTTTTCCACTCCCACTGGGCACACACGTGCCCCTGTCTTTAGCGCAACCCCGGCCGCTTTCCCGGTACGCTGCTGCACTGCCAGCCTGCCGGCCTGGCGACCGCCATGGCGCATTTACACGTGCGCCCCGAAAGAGGGCGGGCGGGGCGGTTTCAAGCATGTAATGGTCCCCTGCTGACCGTTGACTGCACACGAGGGTCGTGAGTGTGGGCGGCAGGATCAAGTGGCTGGCTCAACCGGGGCGCCGCGGCGACAGAAGAAGGCGCAGCAGCATCCCCAAGCTGTGCATGCTGCGGCTTTGCACAGCAAGGCCGCAGCGGCGGTGGTTGGGTGGCCGCACGTGCGCCCGCGGGCGCGAGACGAGAAGGGCTGGGGCTGGGATGGGGGGACAGACTCAGGAGGAGGGAGGGAGGACCGCTGCTGCCTGCCCGTGTGTGGCTGGCAGCCAGTGCTGCTGATGCTGATGCAGCTGCTGACGCTGCGGGACGGCTGTCCGGCAGAAGGGCAGCCGTGCTCCTACTGCGTCGGCGGCGTTGGCGGTGGGGCAAAGCCCTGCGGCGGTGCGCCAAAGCCGGGCGGCATGGCAGGCATGCCGGGCACGCCGCCAGCGGCCTGCGGGAAGAGCTGGCTCATCTGCAGGCAGGGGGCGGCAGGCAGGCAGGAGGGGTCTGCAGATGGGAAGCACGGGGCCGCAGAACAGCAACAGGCATCGCAAGGGCTGCTGGCTCAGCGGGTGGCGTGGGGCACAGAGGGAGGAGGCCGCCTGCTCAAGGTAAGCTTCCAGCCGCCTGCTGAACACTCGCCCAGCACCCCACCAGAGCCCGCCCCCACCTCTTTCAACACGCTTTCCAAACACCCACATGGCCCGCCGACCAGCCACCAGCGCCCGCCCCCGGGCCACTGCTACACACACCTACACACCCGCGCGCCAGCCCGTGCCCACCTTTTCGAACACGCGCATGACCTGCTCGTCGTTTTGGTACTGGAAGATTGCCATGGGGTTCTTGGTGCACTCTGCAATGGCAGCCATCACCTGCAATGGGGTGTGGGGTGTGGGGTGGGGGGTGGGGTGGAAGTGTGGACACGCGTTGTCGTTGTGAGGCAGGAGGGTGGCGGGTGGGTGATGAGTAGGGCAGGGAGTGGCATTGGGGGCCAGAGAGGGGCCACTTCTGGCATGAGGTTGGTTGGCGCGCAATTGGTCGACTGGCACACTGAAATCGGTACCAGCAGGGAGCCTCCCCCAACCTCTCCCAACCTCTCCCAGCCGCCGCCCTGGGCCCCACCTTGGGGTTGGTCATCATGCCAGCCAGGTCCGGGTCTCCCATCACCTGCAGGCGGCAGGGGCGGTTGCGGCAGCGAGGAGGGGGTCAGACACGAGTCGGCAGGTGGGAGGGGAGGAGGGCAGGTGGGGGGGAGGAGGGAGGGCGGAGAGAGGGCGGGGAGGGAGGAGGCGGGCTGGTGGGGGAGGCGGGGTGGAAGGAGGGCAGCCATGAGGTGATTGCCGGGGGCAGCAAGCGCATCGGGGCAGAGCCAGGCTCTGAAGGGAAACCCCCAACCCTCCTGCCATGCCCGCGCCTGCCGGCAGCAGCCCCCTGTGCAGCCCAACCTTTTGCAGGAACTGGTCGGGAGTGATACCCAGCTGATCAAACTGGGCATTCATCTGCGGGCAGCGGGGCGGCAGCGGGCGCGGGGCGGGGCAAGGGTCAGCCCGGGGAGGGCCAGGGAGCGGCCCGCGGCGCTGCAGGAACTGTACTGCCAGCAGCGTACCGCAAACTCGCACTGCAATGTGAGCGACGTAGTACAGTACCGCCCCGTACCTTCTCCGGGCTCATATCCATGCCCTGCATCATCTCCTGTACCGCAGGGCTGCCCGAGGCGGCGGCCTGCTGCTGCAGCATGCCCTCCAGCTGAGAGCGGTACTCAGGGTTGCTGCAGGGGTGGGGTGTGCGTGGTGTGCGTGTGCGTGTGCGTGTGCGTGCGCGTGCGCGTGCGCGTGCGCGTGCGCGTGCGTGTGTGTGTGTGTGTGTGTGTGTGGTGGGGTGTGGGGTGTGGGGTGTGAGATGCAGAGGGAGAGTGTGTAGGAGCAGCTTGTGGAGCGGACGGCGCCGCAGGCAATCAGAGGCGGGGACGGGGAGGAGATGGCAACTGCTCTCACCCATTCCCAGACGCCACAGGAAATACGCCCGACAACCACGGCACACACACATACACCAACACACACACATGCACCACCACACACACACACACACACACACACACACACACACACACACACACACACACACACACACCTCAGCATCCACTCAAAGGTGTCGGGGTTGCGCATCGGCTCGGGCAGGTAAGGGTACAGCATTTTCTGCGGTACGGGAGGGAAGGCCGCGGCGCGCCTCAGCATCGCAGTGGCATCAAGCGGGACAGGCTGCGCACTGCAGCCAAGACCCCGCACACAGCCTGCCAACAGAGCAGCTGACTGCAGGGGCAGCAGAACAGCGAGGGCGGACCCAGCAGTGCCAGCAGTACCACCGGCGCTGCCAGTACCTGCATCTCCGGGTTCTTCAGCATGTCCAGCATGGTACCGGCCACGGCGCCAGCTCCCTGGGAGCTCCCCGCGGCCGCCCCCGCCTCGGCGCCCGGCGGCGGAGGCATGCTGAAGCCCGGCGGCGGCACGCCAAAGCCCGGCGGGGGCATGCCGCCAAACGGCGGCGGCGGCGCCGCGCCGGCCGCGGCGCCTGCCTCGGCGCCGCTGCTGCCGGGGGGGGCGTCCGCCTTGCTGCTGCTGGCGGCATTCACGTCCACAAACGCGCTGCGCTTCTTGGGCTTGCTGTCGCCGCTGCCGGTGCTGCTGCTGGCCGCGGCCTCACCAGCCTTCTCCTCTGTGCTGCTGCTGGCGGCGGCGGGGGCCGAGGCGGCGGCGGCGGCGGGGGCGGCGGGCGCCGGGGTGGCGGTCGTGTCAAAGGCGGGAGACATGCTAGGGAAGCCGCTGCCGGCAGCGCCAAAGGGGCTGGCGCCGGGGGCGCCAAAGGGGCTGCCCGCACCAAACGGATTGGCGCCTGGGGCCCCAAAGGGGTTGGCACCGGGGGCACCAAAGGGGTTGGCGCCACCTGAAGAGCAAGGGCATGGGCAGGCAAGGCACGTCAGTATGGCTTCCGCCCTGGCGCCGCAACCCGGCTTCCCTCCCCGCCTGTGTTTCAGCAGCCTCTGGGAAACCCCAACGGTAAGTTGCACCCAACAAGCACGCACCCTGCCGATCAGCAAGCCCCGCACCGCTGTGTTCGGCAAGCCCGAGGCACCCGCCCCCCGCCCCTACACGACAACGCAGGCATCAGGCTGCCGAGCGGCGAGGCACGCCCCTACACAACAACACAGGCAGCAGGCTGCCGACAAGTGAGCACCCACCGGGCGCGCCCCCCATCTGCTTCATCATCTGCTTCATCATCTGCTCCATAGCCATCTCCTGCATCTTCTGGGGCCCCCCCTTCACCACAGCCATCACCTTGCCCAGCACGGTGGCCAGCACCACGCCTGCAACGCAACGAAAAATGCAACAACGGGGGGGGGTGCCATGTGCAATCACGGGACGGCGCCACGGAGCGCAGGCAGGCCAGGGAGGCAAGGCCGAGGGAGGTAAGGCCGAGGCGCGGCGGCGGGGAGTGGCAGCACACGCGCGGCTGGCCTTGATGCGAGCACCCACATCTGCGGCTGCGTGGCGCTCCCCGCGAGGCTCCACACACACACATAGGCACAGGCTAGCACACGCTGCAGGAGGTCCCCACCACACGCTCCCATCCTGCGGCTGCAGGCTGTCCTCTCACCGATGCCGACGTAGACGAGCGGCGGGATGCCGCCCCAGAAGGACGCCTGCGGCGGCGCAACCGCCGGCGGGCCGTACTGTGGCACAGCCTGGTACACCTGCCCCTGCTGCAGCTGTTGTGGGGAGGGGCAGGGGAGAGGAGCAGGCCGGGGGGTGAGCTGGCGCGGGGTGGTGTACCTAGCTGGCGAGCGCAACCGGCGTCCCGGCAGCCACCCGCAGCTCAAGGCGCCCCAAGCAGTCCTGCAGCTGGCCCCTCCCGCCGCAAAGCTGCTGCGTCTCGGCCCACCTGGGGTGGGGGTGCGGGCTGGAAGTAGGATGGGATGTCCTGGGGCGCCGCGTCGAGCGGCGGCGGCACCGCCTCGGGCGGCGGCGGCGGCGGCGCTGCCTTGCCCTTGCCGCTGGCGGCCACTGCAAAGGGCGGCCATGCACTCCAAGCATCGTCACGGCCGCCAGGGAGCGGGCGCGTGGCAAAACCTTGCCCCCCAGGCGACCAGCAGCGTGGGAGCAACTCGTATGTGCACCCTCCAGCGCCCAGCGATGCGCCAATTGGACAATGCACACACCCTGTCGCGCACCTAGGAGCAGCCTCGGGCGGCGCACGCCGGCGGTGCAACCATGGCGCTGCACGGGGCGTGGGAGGCCAATCAGGCCGCAGCCTGCTGCCAGAGTCTGCATGATTGAGCAATGCACCGGGCAGAATGGCACGATGGCGCGCCCCTTGACTTTGCATTCGCCTGGGTCGCCGAAGGACGCCGAGAAAGCCGAGTGTCTGGCGCCTGTCCCTCACTGTCGTCGTTGCAGCCTGCAATCCAGTGCACTGCCCACAGTGCCACGCCCAGCAAACAAGGCTGGGCCTGCCGATCGCTGCGATCGGTTTCGAGAGGCTCTTCCCAGCCTTGGAGCGGGACCCTGCCGCCCGCCGGCCCCGCCTCGCCCCCGCAGCCCTCCCCCTGAATGCCTCCCCGCCACCCAGCCTGGGGCGGCGCCTACGGCAGCGCCGGTTACCCGCCTGGCGGCGGCGGCGGCCGCCGCCGCGGCCGCGACCAGCAGCTGCTGCTCTACCTGCTGGCCCTGCTGGGGCAGCAGGTGGCGAGGCTGGAGCGCAAGCCACCCATCACCATTCTGCTCGTCGTCGGTGAGAGTCTTCGGCTGCCCTTTCCAGCATGTTTGCTGAACGCCGCCTCGCTCGCAACCCCTCCCGAGGCCTTGCACACTGCTCCCTGCTCCATTCCCCTGCCGCCTACTCACCCCCTGGGGGCCCCCCACGCCCCCACCCCGTCTGGCAGCCCAAGTGTTTTTCTTCTTGCAGCCCGAGGGGTTTGAGTGGGTGCCTTCCATCCGCCAGGGCTGCCTGCTGCCGCGCAGCATCCTGTCTGGCCAGTGGGGCCGCTTGCTGTGGAGCCCCTTCCTGCACGCGGACAACCTCCACCTCTACTACAACATGACCTCGCTGCTGTGGAAGGCAAGCCAGCAGCTGGGTGCCGGGCGCTGCTGTTTCTGGGTGCTGCGCGTTGCGGGTGCTGGGCGCCCAGCCCGCGGCGCAGCGTTGCAGGCAGCAGCAGCAGCGGCCCCGGCGGCTCTCGCACAACCCCTCGCTGCGCCTGCGCTCCCACGCCTGCCGCCCTCCTGCTCCCGGCCCTTCAGGGCAGCCAGCTGGAGCCGCGGCTGGGCAGCGCCGCGTACGGCGCGCTGGTTGCTGAGCTGGCGCTGGTCAGCAACGCGCTCTACATGGGTCTGGCAGCCCTGCTGGCCCGCCATGCCCCCGCCCTGGGCTGGTCCCTCATGCACGCCTGCGCCGTGGGTTTCTCTGGGGTGCTCTTCGGCATGAAGGTGGGCACTCGCGGCGGCGGCGGCGGCAGTTCCGGCAGCCTCTGCGGCCTGGCTCTGCGGGCTGGCTGCGCTCGGGCTGCACCCGAAGCTGCCTCCCTGGCGGCGCCCGGAGCTGCCGGGCTGCCTGCTGCGGCAGCCTGCAGCGCCATCAGGCCTGGCGGAGCCAGCTGCTGCCGCACCCACCCTGTGCACATGCACAAACACTCGTCGGCCACACACATGCACACAAACACACCCGCACCTTTCTGTTCCTCAGGTGGTGCTCAACCACAACTCGCCCGGCTGGTCAGAGATCTATGGGATCGCACTGCCCACCAAGGCAAGTGCAAGCATGGTTGCGTGGGGTTGGTGGGTTGGTCGAGTGTTTGTGTGGGGTTGGTTCGGCAAAAGGAGGTCGTGCGTGGTTTGGAGGCAAGAAAACAAGGGAGGCCCCTGCCTTGCCCGTGGCAAGCCTTGCCTGCCCTGCCTTGCACCGCTGCCCCCCTGCCCCTCCTCCGCTCCTCCACCTGGCCCGTGGGGCCCCTCAGAACCTCCCCCGGTCCTCCCTTCTGACTGCCCTCCCTCGTCCCTCTGCCTGACTCCCCCTCCCCTCCTCCCCTCCCTCCCATGCCGCCTTGCGTTGCCCGCCTGCAGTACGCCTGCTGGGCGGAGCTGCTGGTGATGCAGCTGCTGGTACCGGAGGCCTCCTTCTGGGGCCACCTGTGCGGTATCCTAGCCGGCCTCCTGCATGTGCTGCTCACCAGCCGCCTGCCGCTGCCGCGCGGCGGCCGCGGCGGCGGCGGCGGCGGCGCTCTGGGGTGCTTCTTCGCGTCGCTGTTTGGCGGCGGCGGCGGCGGCCGCCGCGCGCGCACGTACGGGCACGGCACGTGGGGCGGCGGCGCCAGCGGCAGCGGCAGCAGGCCGCAGGTGGGCGCCAGGCATTGAACCATGCTGCGCCTACCCGGCCTGCCTGCCTGCCTGTGCAGTGCTTGCCCTGCTTGCAAATTGCTCCTTTCCTCATTGGCGTGATCGCTAGCCGTCACGCTGCTGCCTGCTCAGCATGAGCGCAGCAGGCAGCGAATGCTGTGCTCATGAGCGAATGCAAGTGCTTCTTGCCAGCAACCCAACGTGCGGCCGGCTGCGTCCTGCTGGCTTGCAGCGCAGGTAGCGCCTGGCGCCGCCGGGCCCGGCGGGGCCGCTGGCGGCGGCAGCAGCAGTGGAGGGAGGGGCAGGCGAAGCTTGGCAGATGCGGGGGCGCGGGCTTGCGCGGTCCTGCTCTGTGCAGCACTGGCGGCAGCCTGGCTGGGCAACCCAGGCAGGGACAGCTTCGAACGGTACCTCTTGCAGCAGGAGGATCAGCGTGAGGGGATGGGGTGGTGGCAGCAGCAGCACGGCGCAGGCCAGCCCTTTGCCTGGCTCCTCGCCTCCAAGCTGGCGCCCGCCAGCTGGCAGCTCCCACATGTGCGGTACCATAGCCTGCTGCTGCTGAGCCTGGGCCAGGCGCAGGGCGCTGGTTCTGGGGCAGCGCAGCCGCGGGCTGGCAGCCGGTGCCTGCGGCACTGCAGCCGGCAGCAGAGGCGGCGGCGGCCGTGGCGCAGTCGTCGTCGGCGGGCGCCTGGGCAGCCGACCGCGCGGGCTGGCTGTACTGGGTGCTGGGACGGCAGTACGGCCTGCAGTACGGCATGGCAGCTGCCATCCAGCTGCTGGTCGATGCCGTCCTGAGCATGCCGCCAGGTAGCAGCTGCTCTCGCCTCGCCTCTTTCGCACCTGACGACAACCGTCGTGCAGCGCTCCCAGCCCTGCTGGCCTGCCTACCTGCCTCCCTCCCTGCAGGCACACTCGTGCTGAGCGCCGCCATGTGGTGCGTGTGGCTGCTGTGGCGCCTGCTGCCGCCGGCCGCCGCGCTGCGCTGGCTGGAAGTGCGGCCGCCGCCCGGCGGGCCCAGCCTCTGGTCCGGCGGCGGCACCAGCAGCAGCGGTGGCGCAACGGGCAGGAGGCAGCGGCTGCGGCGTGCCGACCTGCTGCTGGTAGCGGGGCTGTCGCATGAGCGCCTGGCGCACCTGCTGCTCAACTTGACCTTCCTGGCTCTGGCAGGCGGCGCGGTGGAGCGCCAGCTCAACGCCAGCATGGCGGCGGCCGCCGCCTCCCTGCCACCGACTATCCCAGCAACAGCACCGGCAGCAGCAGCACTGGCAGCAATCTTCCTGGCGGCCTGTGCGGCCAGCTATGGGGCAGCAGCCCTGCTGGTGCCGCGCGCCGGCTGGCTGCGCCGCCGCTGCCCGCCGCTGCTGGGCTGGAAAGGAGCTGACCCCGGCATCTACGCCCTCCTGCTCCTCATGCTGCTGGCAGAGGCACGGCAGCAGCTGGCGGCAGCGGCCGTGGCAGCAGGCGCCAGCAGCGCAGCCTCGGCCAGCGTCGCGGCGGCGCTGGCCGCCGCGGCGCTGCGCGTGGTGCCCCGCCCGCTGCTGCTGCGTGCCGCCGGCCTGACGGCCCGCGCTGCGCAGCTGCTGTCGCCTGGCAGCTGGCTGCTGCGGCGGCGTGGGGCGGCGCCCTCGGCGGTCCTGCTGGTCGCTGCTCGGGTGGCCGCGGAGCAGCTGCTGCTCGCCCCTGGCCGGTGGCGCAGCCAGGATGCGTGGGCCGCGCTGCGGGGCCTCCCCGCAGCGAGCGGCAGGCGGCAGCGCCGCTCGTTCCCTGCCGCCGTCCTGGTGGCCACCCTCTCCCTGCCTCTGGACCTACTGCGGGCTGCCGTGGCGCTGGTGGCGCCCGGGGCACGCGACCTGGCGCCCCGCTGCCTGCCCTCGCAGCGCCTCGCCGCCTGCGCGGCGGCAGCCTGCATCGCCGCCTGCCAGGCGCTGCTGCTGGTGGCTTCCCATGCCACCCTCGGCGCCCTGGATTCCTCCTTTCTTC